CAGGGAGAATTTTACCATTATCTTCAATAAAATCAAAGTTTCATTCTCTTATTGCAAAGGACCTTTAACTGCTGTTTATAATCTTGTCATAGGCCCTGTTTGAGTGGAACTAATCCCATAGGGGTTTTATTAAGACACAATGATAGTGGAGGAGGGAAGCTTTTACGTGCTTCTGTTGGAAAGAACTGCCTTTTGAGCAATGTGTGTGCTGTGACAGAAAAATCCTGGTTTGGTGACTGTATCTAGCTCAGATAACTGGGCTACACTGGGCACAGCAATCATCATCATTCTGGAGAATCACAGATCATTCTGGAGTCACCATATTAAAAGGATTAGGCAAAGACTGTTTCATGTATGCATGCCCAGGCCTCCTTTCTCTTTCTTAAGTAAATGCAAACTGAGAGTAATTTTGCTGTAATCACAGAATATGCTATGTTGAAATGGACCCACAAGGAGCATCAAGTGCAATTCCCCCTGCATGGAACCATTCCCAAGAATCACACCATGTGTGCAAATGCTTCTTGAACTTTGTCAGGCTGGTGCTGTGACCACTTCCCTGGGGAGCCTGTTCTAGTGCCCAGCCACCCTCTGTGTGAAGAACCTTTTTCTAATATTCAAACTGAACCTCCTCTGACACAACTTTAGGCCATTCCTTTGGGTCCTGTGTCACTGGTCCTCACAGAGAACAGATCAATGCCTTTTCTTCCCCTCACACGAAAGTTTTAGGCTCCCATCAGCCACTTCTCATACAGCTTCCCCTCAAGGTCCTTCACCATGTCCATAGCACTCCTTTGGATGCTCTCCAATAATTTCTTTCTTATAGTGTGGTACCTAATACTGCACACAATATTCAAGGTGAGACTGCCCCAGTGGGGGACAATCCCCTCCCTTGCCCAGTTGGTGATGCTGTGCCTGATGTACCCCAGGGCATGGTTGGCCCTTTGGGCTACCAGGGCACACTGGTGACTCATGTTCAACTTGCCACTGACCAGCACCCCATGGTCCCTTTCCATGGTGCTGCTTTCCAGCATCTCATTCCCCAATCTGTCCATATATCCAGGGCTGCCCTATCCCAGGTGCAGAATCCAGTACTTTCCTTTTTTGAACTTCATACTGGTGGTGATTGCCCAGCCCTCTGATTTGTTGGAAGTCTCTCTGCAGGGCCTCCCTGCCTTTAAGGGAGGGAACAACTTCTCGCAATTTTGTCTCATCTGTGAACTTGATTAGTGTCCCTTCCAGTACTGCATCCAAGTCATTCACAAAGATGTTGGAAGAGCTCAGGGCCTAAGATGGAGCCTTGCAGAGCCCCACTAGTGACAGGTCATCAGTCTCATGTCACCCACTCACTGCAACCCTTTGTGTCCAACTCCTGAGCCAGCTGCTCACCCATCACGTGACATATTTGTCCAGCCGTGTGCTCGATATTTTATCCAGAAGGATACTGTGAGAGACAGTAGCATAAGCTGTATGGAAATCGAAAAAGATGACATCAGCTTCCCTGATGACTTCCCTTGATCAGCTAGATGGGTTACGTTGTCATTAAAGAAAATCAGGTTTGAAAAGCATGATGCCATGCTGGCTGGGACTGAGGACTGTGCAATAATCAACTGTGTAAACTAGAATGTACAAAGGGTCCCTAAGCTTTATCACATTGTTAAAAGCCAAAGTGTGCAAATATCACTGCAGGTGATATTTGAAGGAGTAGACCCAGATAGCAATTTTTTGAGACTCCTGGGGCTATGATCTGAATATATAGTTTGTACTCTGCATCTCAGAGCAAATCTGTATGGCAACAACCCATGCTTCCAGCCCCCAGAGTGTAGATGTCTGCTGTGCTGCTTTTATTTCTGTATGCAGTAGAAAATCCAGCCTTTTTGAACCAGGAGTCAGTTGAGTGACTTTGTTTTTCAGGTCCTCACACAGTTATGAAAACCAGATCGTGTTGGGCACAGAGCACTTGCACAAATTCAGGGTGGTGACATTTGTGCTGTGAATCAGAACCCACAGTCAAGTTTTCATACAAGTTTCCTGTCAAAATTTTTGTCACATTGGCCATTACAAGACACTTCAAAAGCCTTGGGTAATGCACACTTTTGTAAGAGGTTTCTAGGAGAGTGTTCACTGAGCACTTAAAAATCACCTAAGAGGCTCAACTACATAGCTCTTAATAGCATGTAACAAATAGGTAGAGCTAGTTAATTTTTTTCAAGATTGCCAGACTACGAGTGGTCCCAGGATAGGGGCATGGGAAAAGGAAAGAAGCATGCAGATATCATTGAAAGACAGCAAAATGAACTTTCTTTATCTAAAGAATTCATGTTACTGAAAGGAAAGGCTGTCCCCAAACACATTAACAGCTCCTAAACTTGGTTCTCCCTTCCCCCAGGTTAGACCCAGAAGACTGCAGCAGGTAGTCCCTGCCTTTTAAGGGATATTCTGCCTTTTGGTGGATGAGGAATTCAGAGGGGACAGAGGAGTAGCCCTGGCACCTCAAGAGTCTTTGTGGCTTCTGAGTCAGGTAGTGGCAGCCAGATGCCCTCCAGCCTTATCTGCTACCCTTTTATTTAAGACAGGCAAAAATAATTTCTGGAAGGACTTAATTAAATTCCACTAGGTCACAGTCTCTGTGCAACTCATCTTCACTTCTCTTCCACATTTATAGTTGATGAATGTCTACAACCTTCCTCATTACACACAAGGGTTATTTCCAGAGATGTAGGCAGCAGGATACAATTCATAGGACAGCGAGATGAAGCAGAAGGTCTTATGCATAATTCCGCACTGAATATTCCTTCAACTTCCTGATTCTATGCCTGTTGTCTTTGTAAGATGGATATAGGCATTCCCTCCTTCGATGTTTGCAGATGACAAGTGTGTATATTAAAATGTTGTCAAGCTGCAGCTCTGAAATGACATGCCTAAACTTTGGGCAGACAAAGAGACAGGAGATGGACTGCAGTAAAGCACACTGGCTTTCTTATGGGCCCTCGGAGCAAGGTTTCTGAATTTATCAAAAAGGTTAAATTTGCAGTGCTTAACACGGAAAATAAAATGATGCATTGGAGGGATGGCAGCCTTGCTTTCAAGTGCCCATTAGAGTGATTTTTGTGAAAAGGATGTGAGTTTTGGGCAGGATACTACTAGAACCAGCTTATTAAATTCATCCACACACCACTCTTGGTAACCCTGGCTTTGCTGACTTTGGTGCCCAAGGGCAGTCTCCACTGCAGACAACTACATATTGAGTGGTCTTAAAATACCTTTTACAAAAATAAAGCTCAAGAACAGTTTTGCTTAAGTGCAGGTATCTCAGGCCTCAGTAATTTCTTTTCTATGTTGTACCCTCCTGTCTGTTCTTACCAAATGGTAAATTACCTCTGTTCTGAACTGGATTTATTTTCCTTTGACTTTCTATGGCATAAATCTTTACAATTTCTATTACTGTGTGCATTTTGCCTTTTTCTCTCCCTGTTTCCCAGCTCATCCTCAGAATACGATCTCTAGCTAATGATACTGTTGCATTTTCTGTGCTTATTTTGCCATTTCCAGCCATTGGTACAGCTCCAGGATTTCTGTGTGTTAGCTCCAAAAGAGTGGAGCTGTTTCCCCCAGTTGATTGTCTGGGTAGCTGTAGTGCCCTGGCAAGGCATCACTGCATTGCACTGAACTGGACTGGCTGAGCACTGTGCCATCTGTACACAGATTATTACCCTTTACAGCCCCTTTTAATAGAAGCTCTTATGGCACCATAGGAAATGATGACTAAATATATAGCCAGTGTATATGGCTCCATGCTGCTGTACTGATAGGAAAGTGTACTTTTGCATGCTGGTAGTGGGGTGTTGTGGATTTCTTTGGAGGTTTTCCCTCCCCAAGCAATAGTTTTGTTAGGAACCAGGCTGCCCTCCAGTAGAGCCCTGTGTCACACGAGCACCAGGAAGTCTGTAGAGCCTTGGATGTCTCTAGGCTGTTGCCTCTGAGGTGGAATAACAGCATAAAATGAGAAAGCCATAAAGATATTCATAAAGTAAAATGAAATTTTCATCTTCACTATCCTGAGCAAGCTGTCTGTATTATGCAAATATCAAAATGGCATAAACAAAACAGATTCTGCTTGTGCTAGAAGCACGTTTTGGCTCTCCTGAGATATTTGATATATTTGATGGATTTGATATCAATATAACTGATACTGCACTGCTCAGAAATTTACCTCAAACTATTCTTAATCATCTGCTTGATCTGCCAATCATGCAGAACATCCATGGGAAACATCTACATTTGCCTAAGGGTTTTTTCTTCCCTACCCCTATGTCCAGTCTAGATGAAATATTTCCACATAGTGGCTGGGGAGTCCAGGACAGAATTGCTTCTCTAGGCAGTACACTGGAGAATATGACCCTGTTGTTTTTGCCTGACAAGATGCCCAGGTAATTCACAGTGTGTTGAACTGAAATGGACTCCAATACCATGTGTTTTCCAACAGAAGTTAACCATGGTGCTAGATAAAATGATGCATATAAATTTATATATAAATTTTTATATAGCTATATTAGTTATATATTTCTGTCTATAAATATCTATTTAATGCATTTAAATAGTTACATCTACATATAAAGTCAATGATTCTTTATGTCTGTAACTGTGCTATTTGACCTAGGAGTCAAATTCCTAGTCCAGTTGTAGTATGTACAGAGAGCAATAAGTATAAAGTACATGGCAGAAACTTCATCACAGGAGTTTCTTCATGTACTAATATTGGGACCAACTTACATAAATAATGTCTCAGGGTTACTAGATAATGCCTGGGGCATGCACACAGAGTGGTCCACCTGGCTTATCTCACATTCAGTTTAACAGGGGGTTATCTGTGATTTCAGCAGGAGCAAGGAGCCGTCAGGAAAAGTGTGCTTGTGTCAGCATTCATGTAATGCAGTGAGGGGCCTAAAGGAAAAGCGCAGGAGAGAAAAAATCATGTATTATTTCTTTTTACTCCCCCACAGATTGACCATCTCTGCTGAATGTCCCATGCAGCTTGAAGATTTCCCCATGGATGCACATGCTTGCCCGTTAAAATTTGGAAGCTGTAAGTTCTCTTCTGGAATAAGAACTTGAAAAATACCATTTTCTGGCTTCTCATGTTCAAATATATCTTGTACAGATCTTTCACCCTCCCCCCCAGCCTTCCCCTTTTAACATGGTTCTTTAGCATCCCCATTCTGCTACCCTTGCTGCTACCCTGCTGCTTCTTTCCCATGACTATGCTTTATCTGGGCCTGCTGCTTTTCAACTCATGCCTGCATACTCCATGATAAATGGTGAGTTGATGGGTGATATGCCTTATATATCCACATCAAATGTAACAGCCACTGTTAGGTGGAGTTCTAGATGCAGACAGCTGAATTGATAACTTGCTTTTACATCTGGAGTAAAACAGAGCTTTCACTCCACTGATCAGATTGATGTGCAATTGTTTTGGTGTTTACGTGAACCAGACTGCAGTACAATATCTGCATTGCATATATTAAAAGAGATCTAGAATATTAAAAGAGGAAATATCTTTCCATTTGGCTTTAATAAATCCAGTCCTGTATCCTGTTACATGATGTTTAATACACATGTATTTGTATATATGCACACATTATTCTAAACTGTATGCTGAATGATGATTTTTCCTCAATTCCAAGCCTCTAATCCACCACACTGCTGCCTTGCCAGAAGCTTACTTTAAAAATAACCCCAGGGAATCAGATGGTTATATTTAAAAACAAAGCTCTTAATTAAAGTACAAATGAGGCTACTGCAGTAGACTTTTGGTTTTTTTTTTTTTTTTGGTAATCAAATCCGAGCTTCCAGGTGCAATCATTGTCTCTGAAGACTTTTGATAATTACCATGCAAGGCATTTTGCTAGCCCCTGAAGCCACCTAACTTTAGCATTTTGCAATGTTTTTCAGCTGTATCAATTTAGAGTCACTAATCCTAGCAAGATTAAGCTTTGCCCTTATCGTCTGTATCTGCCCTGATTTAATACTGACTATACATTGTCTTCTAGTGACCATACTAAGAAGTAAAAACACTGTCTACAGTAATTATACCACATTACCAAACTTTAGATGAACTGATTTCCTTTCCCTCTTCCAATCCAGATAGATTCTGTTTCATCCAAATAGCCACCAGTATTTTACAAAGTCACTGCAGGTTCAAGTGGTTTTTTTGACTTCAGCAGCATTAATTTACAGCAAAGCCAGTATAACTCTGAAGGTCCAGACACCTTTATATTCTACTTAAAAAAAATGTGTATGCAAATCACCCACTTAATTCTGAACTTGAAAATGGGAAAACATCTCACAGGAGACTGCAATTGTTTATATACATGGTTAATAAAAGCCACTGGAAAGAATGAATAAGATAAAAAAGGTGTATCCTTCCTGGTATTATATATTGTTTATCAATAGATGAAGTTACATTAGTTGATTTCTATTCTAGTCTAGACTAGAGAACTGATATGTTGTATAGTTTTATGAAATCTTGCAAAATATGTAATACTAAAACATACATATTTAAACGAAGAGCCTGATGCATAAGAGGTCTGAAGCTCAACCATAAAGTTAAATGGATGTTTCCATGTATTAGTAGGTTAGGTGCAGTAAGGTACAGGTTCTAACTCTCCACATAGTAAGACCAAAAAAAAAAGCATCCCAATCAAACATGTGAGTGCATGAGATAACATTACAAGATAAGCTACATATGCTTAGAAGGAGTGCCCAGTAATCTGTCTGAATGTAATTATACGTCCCGCTAGTGCCAATTGTGTTACATGTTAATCACCTCTCAGCACACAGGTAATTTTAGTCTGTGTCAAAACCAGCACTAAGGATTTATATTTTAGGCCTGTGAGGGGTGAACAGAGCTTTAGTTTTTTTGCCATGCTCAGAATAAAATACGTTTATACCTTACAAGTTTATAAGGTATTAAAAGTAATCTTTAAGTTCTTTCACAATGTGTAGACATGGAACTATTTGATCTGTGCTAGCCACACCACTGGCTTCTGCAAAAAGTAAATATAGAGGGACATGCTATAGACAGTCTTTCAGCCTTGAGAATATCTTTATTACTGATCTGACAGCTCCCTTGTAATTTATTGGGATTTCACATGCCTATGTTTGTACAAGTAGCAGCCAGTAAGTCTTGAGTTTATTGAACTAGCCCAGGTATTTTATATTTTAGGAGAGGACAATATTTATTCCATATTTACAGCAGTATGGGTTTGCATTGAGTCACCTGCAGGCTTGCAGCAAGATGAAGCCTACAGGGGAATATGATACATAAGCACATACCCTTTCTGCTTTAGCTTTCCTCACTGTCTTTCCCTACAGGCTTTCTTTTTTTAATGGTCTTCTTTCCAAAAAGATTTTTGAAAAGCCTCAAGGAATAGCATCAAAGTAAATGTTAAACACATTATCAATGGAGCTGGGAGGGTGGAAAAGAAACTGGTGCTAACCAGTCTGAAAATGAAGAGGGCAGGGCAGTGAAATGAAAGAGCTGGGGTATGGCGGATCAGTGGCAGAAAGTGCTAAGAAGTGATCAGTGTTGCAGCAGAGGCAGGAGCAGGTTATTCATTTTCTTGCTGCATGAGCATTCACTATGTTTGTTATAATTCAGCAGGCAAAAGGCAAAAAGTGCTTGATGTTTTCTTCATTATGAAAGAGAAGGAAAATTAATCTTTCTCAAATAAAGGTAAATGCTGAATTCTTATGTTGTATTTGACTGATTTCTTGCTAAATTAGAATTGTGGCAGATTTTATCGGCCTAGGAAATATGATATGTAGCAATAGAATATTTTTTAGAAATAATTAGAAGCCCAGTCAAATACACAAAATATGATATGAAGTTACCTGTGCATGCCACCAGCCTAGGTACCTGTGGGGCAGTTCAAATGCCCACTACAGAAGTGGTATGCTTTAGCACTCTGTGGCATGTCGTGAAAAGGACAGAAGCTCAGGGATAGCTCCTAATGAAATTAACAGAGCAGGTTTTAGTTGTCCTTTAGTTGTCCTTCTCTCCTTATTACAGCTCCCTGCTGCTCCAAGATGGCAAGATCAGGTGGCTCTGCTCCAGGAGTGCATGTATACAGGTACTTCTCCTGTGGGATTGCATCCCTGCTAGGGGTCAGAACACCTGTAGAGATTATCCTGCAGAAGTTTCATTTAGGGAGAAGTGGGGATGATGCATGAGCATAGGCTCAGAGATCTGTGCAGCAGGCTCTGCTCTCTTTGAATCCAGGGTGTTTGATGGGGACTGCTGTGACAGTCTGTTCATTACCTCATGGTAGCATGGGAAGGGTGCTCGTTCCTTCCATGGCCAAATTTAAAATAACTTTCTGTTGCAATTGTAGTGCTGACCTGTACTCTAAATAACTTTGCTGGTCAAACAGCATGTAATGAAAATTCCTGATGCCAGAAGCAGTTTCACTAGGAGCACCTTAACCCAAGAAATTTGATCTCAACCCCAGGCTATTTCTGGTGTGGGGAGGAAGAATTAGATAAAATAGCAAGGACATTAAAGCTTCCTAGCTTTAATGTTTCACCTCTTCCACTGACAGTCCCTAAGAATACATTAAGAGTATAATTTAGTACAGTTTCCAAACGCCCATGTGTCACCAGGTAGGTAAGCATCATTATCTCTAGTGCAGCTGAAACAGAGAAGTTAATTGACTTTCCGTAAGGTCATGCAGCAAATCAATGTCAGAAAAAGGATTAGACTCAACGTCTTTGGTTGGAGAGGCAGATGTCTAATCCACTAGACCATGAAGGCCTCTGCCCAGGCAACTGACTTAACTCCTAAATCTCATTTTACTCCTGTGTTAATTATATTGGTGTTACCTTGCTCACAGGGTTGCCCTGAAGATGAATTAGTTAATTGCTGTTAATTGGTGCTTTGACAATATTGAATACTGTAAGATGGGGTCTATTTATGACAACTGTCTCTTGAAGACACAGTGCCTGAGTACATGGAGTTACCAGATCTTACAGACAAACACATGAAGCAGCTGCCCACTAGTCACTCAGCAGCAAACCCCCCCCACCATGCTATTTTTAGAGTAAGTAGGGAGCTTAATGAATATTCTGAAAATAATGAGATCCCCAAGCTCATGAGCTTGGGGAACAGAGGACCTGTGTTGATTCCTGATGAATTTTAAGTCGGCCATGAAGATGGCCAAGGTTGATCGCTGTTGATCAACAAGCGAGCTTTCCAGCTGTTGGTAAGGGAACAATTTGTAGTGTCTGGAGATAGTAGCTAATGTAGTTTATGTATATCTTCCTTTTTAACACCTCAAACTAAGTCACAGTGTGACTTTTGATGAAGGAAAGTGCACAGGCTAGTTCTGTAGCCGGAGATATGCTCAAATTATTTTCCTCTAATAAGCGTGGTGAAGTCAGAGTAATGAGGAGACAGTAACTTCACCAGTATGCCAGATTTTATTGCAATACTGAACATTAAAGCACTCACTGTTCACAAACGATCCATTTCTTGTAGCCACTTGGAAATTTTTTTTTTAAAAAAGGTATGTTTAGAAAATTTCCCTGATATTTTCTTATAGTGCAGAGAAGGCACTGAGGTGAAGGCACCTACAGGGTTTTTTCTTAATTTTGTACTTTTCCAAATTAGCACCTGCAAGAGCTGCAGGAAAACTGCAAGTATGGAGGGAGAACTTGAAAACAGTGTCCTTCTAAACAGACTTTAATTCTGATTTAGTAAAATATGATAAATAATGTATTTGGCCTCTCAAAACCTGTGTGTTGTAGTCTTGTATAAGAATATAATTAAATGAATAATAAATAAAGAAAATGTTAATTTTAAGAGACTTTGAAAAGTGGAAATGGCTCTTAGGAAGCTTTTCATAGGTTGCTCTCAGGGACAGCTGGAACTGCAGTCTCATATGTAGATGCAGAGCTTTTCTGCTAGTTGTCCCTTCAACTGGACAGAAGAGGCTCCTTGAATTTATTCCTGAGAGCAGAGCTTGTTGACTCTGCTGGGATGTATTAGTGCCTTCCTTGTGAATGGACACGTGGAGAGAGCCAGGG